TTCTGATAGATGGAAGTCTGGATGTGATCGCACAGTGTGCCCTGGAGGCAGTGGAGGACAACTGCACCCTTGGCTATAAAAAGCAGGACCATATTCAGGATCTCAAAAGAAAGGAATAGTAGGATTTTTTAACCCCATCCTAAACACCACATCCAGTTTGAGGCTCATCAACGTAACAAAATGCTGATAAAATTGATCAACTGAAATAATTGCAGCAGAGGAGCACCAAGACAGTCATAAGGCTGGAGCACTTGTCCTGTGAGGAGAAACTGATGGACCTGGACTTGGTTAGCCTGGAGAAGGCTTGGGTGAAAGCAACTAACTGCAATATTCCAACAGAAGATTCCTTCTGCAGAGGTTAAGAAGACCAGGTCAGGGTCCTCACAGTAGTGCATGGTAGTAGGAGAAGAGGCAGAAGCCTTAATCTGTGATGAGAGGATATAAGGAAAATTTTTCATGCCAATGAGAGTCAAGTATCAAGCACTGGAAGAGGTTGGCTAGAGAGGTTGTGCAGTCTATATCCTTGTAGGTTTCAAGACCTGAGTGGATACAGTCCTGAGCAAAATGACCCGCTGTTAGAGTTGATCCTGATTTAAGCAGGAGGTTGCATTAGATCATATAGTTGTAGAATGGTTTGGGTTGGAAGAGACCCTAAAGATCATCTAGTTCCACCCCCCTGCCACGGGCAGGGACACATTCCACTCGACCAGGTTGCTCAGAGCCCCACCCAACCTGTCCTTGAACATGTCCAAGGATAGAAGGTCACAATGAAGTCTCCCTGGAACCACGTCTTCTCCAGGCTAACAGCCCCAGCTCTCTCCATTTGTCTATGGAAAAGGGGTGCTCCAGCCCTCTGAACACCTTTGTGGCCCTCCTCAAAGATGGCAAAGGTGCATTCCAACATGAATCCTCTTTTAATCCCCTCTCAGATGGAATTAAAGAAGCACTATCCTAGGGTAATTGACTGTAATTTCCCTCTGTTTCAAGTAGCTTTTACCAGCTTGGATATGCTGTTTCTTGCCCAGGGCAAGGCACTGCCAGGAAGACTGAGGGAGCTCACCTTACGGGGTTACACTGAAAGAGTCAAGGTGCACAAGTTGCAACAAAAGAAATTCTGGAATGGACAGAAGGACAAAAGCTTCTTGCCCTTGAGAACAGCTCATGCCTGGAGAGGAAAAAAAAGTTTGAATGAGGAACTGAGCAACAAAATCTAGATCTTAAGTAAGGCCTGCTTTGGTAAGGAAACTGGATTAAAGAACTTCATCAGTCCTTTCAAACCTAAATTCTTCCATGATTCTACAATTTATGTACGAGGTGGTACCAGGGAGTTCTCTCTTTCACTTCTGTTTGACCATTCCCTGTGAGAACGAGTTTGTAACTAAAGTCATGAGGCCAAACCCCTCCACTTTCTGCGTTTTTGCTGCTTGAAGTAGAGGTTGATGAAAATCAATTAATGCAATTACGTCTTCTTTAGATAGGCTGTTAGTCTGCACATAGTACATCACATATCCACAGAAATCTTTGGATTTGAACGGGTTTTATGTTCTTATGTTGTCATAAGGAGTCTGGCATTAGCATGCAGCTTGCTAAGAATACAGTTTCATAACAGGCTATGTTTTCAATGCAATGAAGATATTCTTATTTCAAGAGAGGTTCACACTCTGTTATTAATTATCAGTCTAAACATAAAAAGAATGGGAAGAAACACACAACAAAAATTCAACTGTATCCCACGCTTCAAGGCATAGCAGCAGAAACCTCTTTAAAACTGCTGGCTGCTAGAAAGCTGTGCATTCTGCTACTGTAACTTCAAATACACAAATTCTGCAAAAAGCATGACCCTTATTTTAAAAATATGCAACAGACAGTAATAGCAATAGAAATAAATGACTCAAAGAGGCCTACATTAGACTTAAAGCATTATCAGCATCTTTTCATTAAAAAACAAGATGTTCAACAGGCATTCAGTAGCTTAAGGCAATAAGAGAATCCTTCCTTGCTCTAGCCTCTGTATAGATCCATAAAGCAAGGCAGGATATGTCCCAACAAACTACATGTGCTTTCCAACAATGTCAATACAAATAACATACTTGAAAACGATGGCTCTACAACCAGAAAACTCCTTTATTCCAGAAGCATTATATTCATGCAAATGAAATACTCCAATGGTTCACCATGGGCTACTTGACTTTTTAACTTAAATAGATAATCTTTTCTAACTCTGTATTCAGAGGCAAGGTCAGCACAGCCAGAATCTGGATAAACATAATGTTTGACACTCCCTCAGAATTGGAGAAATTAATCATTTTCGCTCCACCTGTGTTGTTCTTGGCATGCTGCTCAGCGAAAACCTTTCACTGCAGGACGTGCTGCAATGACCGCGTACGTGTGTGAGGACTGCCTGTGTTTTGGAAGTTATCAGGCCACTGGCAGCAGAATGCTGAGAATGCTGCAGCTGGTGTCACTGCCAGCTTCTCCACCCAGCAGCTCCCCTCCTAGAATGCCTGCAGCAAAGAGCTGGCTGAGCTGTGCTCAGCACTGTGGCTTCCAGACCTCATGGTGGCACAGAGCTGCTCACAGGCCCTGCGGCAGCCTCTTGTTGCTGCCCTCTTTGTGTGACCTACACCGTGCACAGTGTCATGGGCACATCTGCTGCCATGCCTGGCACTGGCACGGTGTCACGGCTCCGGTAGCACATGGACTGGCACCGGTACTGGTACTGGAACTAGGACTGGGGCTGTTACTGTTACTGGTCTGGCACTGGAACTGAAACTGTGACTGGCACTGATACTGGGACTGGAACTGGGCCTGGTACCTGTGCAGCTACACGAGAGGTACCTGAACAGCTACTGGTACCAGAACTGGAACTGGGACTGGCACTAGTACTGGCAGTGGGACTGCAACTGGGATTGCTACTGGTACGGGTGCTTGGACTAGGACTGGAACTGGTACTGGTTTTAGTAGTGGTACAGGTACTTGGACTGGTTTTGGAATTGGGACTGATACCGAAACTGGGGCTGGGCCTCGTAAAGGTTCTGGGACTGGCACTGGCATTGGTACTGGCACTGGGCCTGGTGTTTTTACTGCTACAGCTACTTGGACTGGTTTTGGAACTGGGACTGGTGCTGGAACAGGGACTGGTGCTCGGATTGGAACTGGTTATGCTGCCGGTACTGGCACTGGCAGTGGTACTGATACGGGAACTAGGCTTGGTACTGTTGTTGGTACTGGACAGGAGTTTGGGCTGTTTCTGGCCCTGGCACTGGAAGCGGTGCCGGGCTGGTGCCGGGCCGGTGCCAACCCTGCGGCCCAGGTACCGGCCCAGATACCACCACCGGCACGACCGCAGCTGCCGCCGGCGGCCTTGGGCCCGCCCCGTCTCCTCCTCGCGTCACGGCAGCAGCTCCACCCCCGCCCCGCCCCGGCCTTCATTTGCATGCCCGCCCCCGACGGGCCAATGGACCCCGCCCTCCGCGGCCGCCGGTAACGGAAGCGCCGGGAGCCGAGCGGGTCCCGCGCGCCCGGCCCGCGCGGCGCGGGCGGCCTGCGGGAGCGCGCCCGGTGCGCGCG